TCATGACCCTCGGAGTGAAGGGTGAAGTGAGGGAGAAACGCGGCGTGGCTGGGGTGGCCTCCGCCCGTCTGTCTATTTCGGCTAATCGCCGCTCCATCGCCTCTAGCCGGGCCTCCTGTGCGGCCCTTCCGGGGGACACAGGAGGGGCAGCCTCGAGCGCAATGTTCCTTCGTGGGGCAACCACGTCGGGTTTCCTCCTTGTGATATGGGCGCCATGTCTTTGGAAACGTCGTCCAATGTTACTGGCGGCGGGGGGTAATGGCGGTGCCCCCGCTGCTCGGAGGGAACATCCGGCGTGCGTCCCCGGTGGTCATCCTGCCAACCATAGCGGGGGGGTGCTGGCGCTGGTGTGCCCCCCAGCTCCATGGGAGGACTGATTTTGGCCCAACCTCATGTGGATGGGCGTCCGGCGCCCGGCAGATTCCGCTGTCTCATCCAGGGACTGCATGCGGTGGACGGGTGATATGGGCGTCCAGATGGTGTTAGCTGAATGCACCTCTTCGTTCGCCTCCTGTTCGTCCGCCATTCGGCGCATCGTTTCCGCCAGCTCCCTCATGAGTCGAGGGTCATGCCTGGCCTCATGGGGGATGAGGTTTGTGAGGCCACCCTCTCCCCCGGTTGTCCCCAACGTCTCGGAACGTTCCGTGGTTTGCCCGCGGTTACTTCGTCCGCGGGACAGCTGCTCGGAGAGGTCACGTTGGCGGTTGTTTCTTGTCATCGTGCTTGCTGTGGGTAGATTTAGTAGCTGTTTGGAAGAGTTTTTTTTTGGAAACTTTTAGTTCAGTTTCCCATAGACGGCGCCAGTGTTGAGGTTTATTCCTTCAACCTTCAGGCCCAACACGTAAGCCCAAGGATTTCGAATGGAGTGTGTATGGTTAAACTAGCCCAACGAGCAGATGATATGGATTGGAAAGAGCAAGAAAAGTAGCCAGTAAGTGATTAGGTATTATTATCTCTTAATAACTCCCTAATACAATACTTTTCGCTAAGGCTCCGTCGGCCGTTCGTCTTACAAGGCAGTTAGAAGTGCTGCGAGTAAGAATGCTATAGCTAGAGTGCTAAGAATAGAAAGTTGCCAACCCTTTACAATGAAATAAATGCTTCTATTTATACCCGCCAATGGGCAGGTGGCTATGCTGACGTGGAGGCCTGTGGACCGCTGGTGTCCCAACCACCAAATCTTCAGCATTAAATGCACTTCCCGCCAGAATCTAGGTTTCCCGCCTAAATAGTGGGGACGTTCGTCCGTCCGGGAAGCGAGCTGGATTCCCCCATGTGCCCCTTAAGAGGCTTCGGCAGTTCGTCTCCTGGCCTTAATGGGTTCTCACCATGTGGACTGGATTCCCTCTGATAATTATAGGTTCGCTCTGGGGACGTTCGTCGTCATCCCTGATGGCCCGTGGTCCTGCTCTTTGTCCCTGCACAGACGTTCGTCGCGATGGGCCATTTGAACCTGAACCCCCCAATTCCAGACGTCCGTCTCTTTCCAACGGTCATGGGCCTGCGTCCAGCCTGGTGTCCTAACCGGACGTGCGTCCGATAAAAAGGGGTTAATGGGCCGGACCTCGCCCTGGGCCATTATCCCAACACTTATATCCCAAATTAACTTTATAATAATATCAACATTTCGCTATAGAACAATTTAATATTTTACCAATATTTATGTAATACTTGAGATTTAATTTAAATGTATTAATAGTACTACTCATACCATCAGATGTGCATCTCCTTTTAATGGACATGATCTACACTTCATGAATAACATGCTCAAGGTTCTAAAAGGCGTTAGGCGCTAGTCGGGCGCCAGCCCAGCGCCTAGCGCCTAGGCGGCTACGCGGGCGCCTAGGTGGGGACTAATCAGAGGCACATAAATTGTATTTTTATTAATATTTTTGCATAAATATAATAAGTAATACATAATAAAATGGTAGTATCATGTTTGTGTATGTATGAAAAATATATCTACCACTAATTCACCTAGGCGCCAAACCAATTAGTCGGAGCGCCTAGACAAAAATCGGGGTGCCCGACCACCGCCTAGCGCCTAGGCGGGGACTAGTCGGGCGCCTAGAGCGACTTTTAGCTAGAACAGTGAACATGCTAATATCATTAAAAAACTCCACCAGAAACCGCCTCAAGTGGCGGCAGCCGGACGGCATTTCTCGTACATCCGAATGTATGATAAAAGTTTTATGCGAGCTTGTATATATATTACTCGGTACATTTTGGAGGAGTGGTCATATGGTTGGTAGGAGGAGGAAACTACCTTTCATCTTCCATGCAATAATACTACGACATAAGGGAATTACCTTGCATTTGCATGTGTGAAAGGGACATTACTAATATTACATGTAAAGAACATAGACAAATGATCACTATTTATGATATGATACGGTGTACAAAATAGAATAAACTTTAAAGTTCAATCTATGAGTTTATTTTATTGATAGTGCTAGAATATAAGGAAAAATGGCATCTACGGAGACTATACATTATTTTTCATATCGACATAGTACAGATTTAAGTTTTTAAATAGTGTAGGGATGGGGATAATTTAAGGTGACTAACTTATACTCACAGAATAATTTTATATGCATAAAATATAAATTAAAAATAGGAAGAAAAAAAAAACACATAATTTCTTTTGTTTCTTCTTCCATCCATATATTCTCAAAATGGTGAAACCCGCATTCCCACTTTAAAACTTACGTACTTCGTATATATCCCAAACTTTATAATATACGGAGTACTTCGTATATGAACATTTCGCTATAGAACAATTTAATATTTTCCCAATATTTATTATCGCACACCGCAATACTACCTTTGTCCCCAAACATTAGGACAAGAGGGGGTGACACAATTATTAAAAAAAGTTAATTTGTGTGGTTGCTATTGAATTGATAAAGTAAGAATACAGTAAAAAAAGTTTTGGAACACATAAACTTTATCAAATTTGATCTTACACAATCTTAGTGAAATTTTCTAAAAACACAAAACGGGAAGGAGGAGTACAGTACATTATTATACGAAGTAGGGATATTCAAATTAGGCACGACTTACCCAAAAATACCAATTCAAACCCTGTCAAAATTAAATCTACAAAATAGTCCATTGCCTCCCACTACAATAGTAAAACCCACTGAAAAAGTAGAATACAGTAGTGTGAAAACCGTGCCATATCATAGTTTGTATGATAAAAGTTTTATGCGAGCTTGTATATATATTACTCCGTACATTGTGGAGGAGTGGTCATAAGGTTGGTAGGAGTAGGAAACTACCTTTCATCTTCCATGCAATAATACTACGACATAAGGGAATTACCTTGCATTTGCACGTGTGAAAGGGACATTACTACATTACTAGTATTACATGTAAAGAACATGGATAAATGATCACTAATTATGATATGATACGGTGTACAAAATAGAATAAACTTTAAAGTTCAATGTATGAGTTATTTTATTGATAGTGTTAGAATATAAGGAAAAATGGTATCGACGGTGAATATACATTATTTTTCATATCGACAGAGTGCATATTTAAGTTTTTAAATAGTGTAGGGACAGGATAATAATGTAATTATATATGGATTACTATGTAATTTCCTAAACTTATATTTAGTATAAATACAACCTCAAGGCACCCAAGAGGGTAAGCTATTATTTCCCAAAATTATTGTTTTACACATGGTATCAGACGTTTAGGTTTTTTTTGTGCCTTTCTCCCTAAATCGTTCGCTCACACCATGGCCGACCAACCCACTTCTACGACCTCAACCAATCTGGCGCCCGTCAATCAGGAGCAGCCTTCATCTGCTGGTTTCTCTTCAATTCCTACAGCGCTGTCCGGCATCACCTCTTTCAATTCCGGTTCCAGCCGCGTCGGCTTCTCCCAGCAGCACTCCGAGTTTCCGGCTTCGTCGGTTCAGGCAGTCCAATTCAGTTCTCCTTTGCCGGCTTCCTTGTCACAACGTCTTCGAGGAATTCCCCCACTCGACTCATTCAGACAGTTTAATATGCCAGAACCCTTTGCTTGGACGGCAGCCTCCACATCACTTCCGCCTCCACCAGTTTTTCCGGACTTAGGCAGCTCTTCCAATATGTACACCGGCCCCACCTTTTCTGGACATCCTGGGATTACTCCTCTGCCATCCACTTCGAATCACTCATTGGCAGGTTTTAATACTTCCTCCAGCTTTTTATCATCTCTAGCATCTCAATTGGCGTTCTCTACGCCTAACGTGAGTAATATTGTGACGACTCGTCTATCATCTGTTGAGGATTATTTGCCTTGGAGAACCCAATTTGAATCATTCTTAGTCTCTCACAGTCTTTTGGGTGTGTTAGATGGGTCTGTTCCAATACCTCCATCTACGACTCCCGATTATATGTTTTGGCTAAAAATTGATCAAACTGTGCGTTCATGGCTTTTTGCTACTCTTGCTAGAGATGTTTTAATGGAGGTTTATGACTTGAAGTTCTCTCATCTAATTTGGGAACGACTTCAGAAAAGATTTATGTCTGCTTGTATTTCTCGATCCGTAGAACTAAAAAGGCTATTAACTCATATAAAGAAGAAAGAATCTCAAACTATGGATCAATACTTGTTAGAAATCAAACTTCTGGCAGATTCCTTAGCAGCCATTAATTCTCCCGTCAGTGGGAGAGATCAAATTGAGTATGCCATACTTGGATTAGGACGTGGCTATGAATCGATTCTAAATAACATTGATCAACTCCCGGGTCTTCCAACTCTTGAAGACCTTCGTCCCATCTTACAAGCACAGGAGCAACGCAATCTTTTTTTCCAAGCCCAGGAATCAGCTTCTATTCATCAAGCATTCGCTGCCCCTGCTGCTCCAGCAGCCCGAGGGGGTGCTCCACGTGGTGGTGGACACCCGCGTGGTCCCGGTGGTCCTGGTGGTCGAGGGAACCGAGGTGGCCGAGCCCGTGGAGGACGGGGTCGAGGAGGTGGCCGTGGTTATTATCCACAGCAACCTCACGGTGGTTATCAGCAGCCTTATGCGGCCTATCCCCAGCAGCCAGCAGCTCCTATACCGAGGGCCCCTGCATTTCCCGGGATGCCAGGTTCAGCATTGTGTAATATTCGTTCTGGTAATAATTGTACTGTTTATTTTCCTGCTTCTGCTACTCATAACTCTTATGCAGGTTTCCCGTCTGTGGATCAATCATATCAATCACCTCCCCCCCAGTTGTTTGTCAGTTGTGTTTTTCTCCAGGTCACTCAGCCCTTCACTGTTCTCGTTTCACTGCATCGCCCACCCCGGCTCTTGCTGCATTACCCACTGGTGAAAACAATGATTCGGTCTGGTATCCTGACTCTGGCGCTTCCGCTCATATGACTCCTCACGACGGTATTCTCTCTTATAAAACTCCTTACACTGGCCCGAATCAAGTTTGTGTTGCTAATGGTACTAAATTACCTATTTCCAATATTGGTCATTTAAAGCTTGTCACACGTGGTCGCCCGTTAAATCTCAACTCTGTTTATCATGTCCCACATATTAAATATAATTTATTGTCTATTCAAAAGTTATGTGCGGATAATGCCTGTCAAGTAATTTTTGATAAAAACTCTTTTTCTGTAAAGGACAATCACACGGGGGAGCTTCTTCTTCAGGCACTTAATAAAGACCATGTCTATCCTTTTCATGCCCTTCAAGCCCGTGTTGTACCTGGTCCAATCTGGCACAAGCGTTTGGGGCATTGTGGTGATAGAATCCTTGCTAGACTTAGGCAGTATAAATTAATTTCTACTTCCTCCTCCTTTGTTCACGATTGTGTTTCTTGTAAACTGGGTAAATCCCACAGACTTCCTTTCACTGATGTTACACATGATTCTATTGCACCTTTACACATTATTCATTCTGATGTTTGGCAATCACCAGTAGTGTCCAACCTTGGTTTTAAATATTATGTATTGTTTATTGATGATTTTTCTAGATATACTTGGGTTTATCCGATGCATAGGAAGTCTGAAGTATTTACTCATTTCTTACACTTTCAAAAATTAGCAGAGAATCTTTTGGATTTAAAAATAAAAAATTTTCAAAGTGACGGAGGGGGTGAGTTTGATAACACACAGTTTAGAGAGCATTTTTTAAAATCTGGAATTTTATTTAGAAAGTCTTGTCCGGAAACACCGGCTCAAAATGATGTTGCTGAACGAAAACATAGACATCTGCTAGAATTAACTAGGACTATGTTGATTGATTCCTCTATTCCTAGTAAATTCTGGGTTGATGCTCTTTATACAGCCACATTTATTATAAATCGTCTTCCTACACCTATTTTAAATGGCCTCACGCCATATGAGAGACTTTTTCATAAAATTCCAGACTACAATTTCATGCGTGTGTTTGGATGTTCATGTTTTCCAAATTTTATTGCTGCTTCCCACAATAAGTTATCACCACGCTCCATACATTGTGTTTTTCTGGGCTATGCACCGGGTTACAAAGGCTACCGTTGTCTTTCTCCTTCCACTGGTCGCGTGTATGTAAGTCGGGATGTCATTTTTCACGAAAATATTTTTCCCTATCCTACCCTCCTAACCGCCCAGTCCACCTCAAACTACAGCCTACCTCCTTCCTGGCTATCCACTTCGTCCCAGCAATCATATCCATCTACTAATCAGTTTTCACCCAACTCCTTAGACACCTCTCGTCCTTCATCCCAGCATATACTGCCTACGCCAAGCACACCAACAACTCCACTAATAACTCCCAATTACGACACCATCACTAACTCCCAGCCTACCACTGCCAGTCCATCACCCTCGGCTGGCAGTCCCCCTCTCTCGCCTGGCAATATTCATACCTCATCTCCTTCGACCAGTCTCTTACCTATTATTCATACTAATGTTCATCCCATACGTACACGTGCTAAAAATGGCATTTTTAAACCAAAACAGATTTTTACTTTAAATGTTTTAGCTCCTCCTAATGATCCCACTTGTTTTACACAGGCAAATAAACATGAGGTTTGGCGGGCAGCCATGGCTGATGAATTTAATGCTTTAATTGCTAATAAAACATGGGATTTAGTACCTTGGGACCCTACTAAAAATGTGGTTGGTTGTAAGTGGATTTATAAGACAAAATACTGTTCTGATGGATCAATTGAGCGTCATAAAGCTCGCTTAGTTGCTCAGGGTTTTAAACAACAGGCTGGCATTGATTTCACTGAAACATTTAGCCCTGTTGTTAAACCCACCACAGTTCGTCTTATTTTATCGATTGCTATTTCTTTAGGATGGTCTGTTAGACAGCTTGATGTGAAAAATGCCTTTTTACATGGTTATTTAACTGAAGAGGTATATATGCGTCAACCACAGGGCTTTATTCATCCATCTTTTCCTAATCATGTGTGTCGTTTGCGCAAAGCACTTTATGGTCTGAAACAGGCTCCACGAGCTTGGTTTCATCGATTTAGTGGTTTTTTGTTGAGTCGGGGTTTTACACAAAGTAAATCTGATTCCTCCATGTTTGTTTATCGTTCTCCTTCCCATACTGTTTATATTCTTTTGTATGTGGATGATATTCTAATTACTGGATCCTCTTCTTCGCTTGTCATGTCTGTTATTCACACTTTATCTCGTCAGTTTGCCATGAAAGATTTGGGTGATATTCATTATTTCTTGGGTATTCAAGCCAGACGCACGTCAACTGGCTTGTTTTTATCACAGGCTAAATATATTTCTGATCTCTTGCATCGTTTTCATCTCCACACGGTTAAGCCTGTACGTACACCTCTTCCCTCACGTACCACCCTTTCTCTCACAGATGGGGAACTTTTATCTGATGCTACTGAGTATCGCAGTATGGTGGGTGCTCTTCAGTATTTGATTATCACTAGACCCGATATTACATATGCTGTTCATTTGGTTTCTCAGTTTATGCATGCTCCACGCACTACTCATTTATTGGCTGTTAAGAGAATTTACAGGTATTTACAGGGCACCTCTACTCATGGCCTCTGGCTCAAATCTGACAAAAATATTTCAGTAATTATGGCCTATTCTGATGCCGACTGGGCAGGATGTCCAGACAGTTCACGTTCCACTACTGGCTATGCTGTTTTCTTGGGATCCAATCTCATCTCTTGGCGATCCAAAAAGCAGCCCACTGTCTCAAAATCATCAACTGAAGCTGAATACAGGGCCATTGCTTATACTGTTCAGGATACTCTTTTTATTAGATCTCTATTAGCTGATATGGGGATATATATTTCGGCACCTGTACATCTTTACTGTGACAATGTCTCCGCTTCGTACTTGGCGGTCAACCCTATTCAGCATGACAGGAGCAAGCATATTAAGATTGATTATCATTTTGTTCGCGAAAGAGTGGCTCACGGAGATCTTGTTGTGAAGTACATTCCCACACAATTGCAGTTGGCTGACATTTTTACTAAAAATTTATCTAGTCAGCGTTTTGAGTTCTTACGTTCCAATCTGCACGTTGTTTCCCCTGCACAGATTGAGGGGGTGTAATAATGTAATTATATATGGATTACTATGTAATTTCCTAAACTTATATTTAGTATAAATACAACCTCAAGGCACCCAAGAGGGTAAGCTATTATTTCCCTACACACAGGATAGTTTAATGTGACATGATTATTAAGAAAAGTGAGTTTTTGTGGTTGCTATCGAATTGATAAATTAAGAATAAAGTAAAAAAGCTTTTGGAACACATAAACAAATAATCTTTATCAAATTTGATAGAAGTATTACACAATTCTAGTAAGATTTCCCAAAAATAAAAAATGGGACAATTTAACGGGAAGGAGGAGTTCATGTACATTATACGAAGTATATTCAATTTGGCACCACTTATCCAAAAAAAACAAACCTCAAAATTAAATCTACAAAAATAGTGTATTTGCCTCCCACTGCAATAGTAAACCCACTGTACTGAAAAAGTAGAAGATAGTAGTGTGAACACCCTGCCATATCATATTTCTTACGCGTCATTTGGAAAATGCTACTCGATCTATAAAAAACATGCTTTGTACACTTCATGCGATTAAAACATAAAACATCCTCTGTCCGAGAGAGGGATTCATGGCTGCCAATTCAGAGTTCAGTCCGTCCATTGATGAAGAAAGGTGGGTGAGCTTAGGTAGCAGAGCCTTACAGTCAGAACTCATTTTAGAAATCGATGGCTTCTCTCCAACAATCTTTCAAGTCCCAAAATCCTTGAGCGAAACCAGGCCCGAAGCCTACACCCCTCGGCTTCTCGGCATGGGACCGTACCATCATCTCCGGCCCGACCTCCACGCCGCAAACCTCCAAAAGCTCGTCGCCCTCAACAAATTTCTCGGGGAAGAATCATGCAAGAACTTCTCCAAACACATCCTCAAAAAGATGAGGGATTTGGAGCTGCTGGTTCGGGCCAGCTACGACAAGTACTTGGATCTGGACTGCTCCACACTAGAATACATCCTCGCCGTTGATTCTTTCTATCTGCTCGTTTTTTTGGGTATGTACGGGGAGGGAACTCCCACTCTCGAACCCGGTTGCCAAGAGCTTGCCAAGGATATCTTGAAATTGGAGAATCAAATCCCAGTACGTGTGGTAGAAGAGATGGGAAAACAGCTAGGTTTGTTCCATCGTCTTCATCATCACTACGTATATACTACCCCGTTCTTAAATAAATGCAACACTTTGACTTTTACACTATTCACATGTTCTACTTTGACTACGTTTTATTTATTACTATTTTTAATGGAATAAATATTGTTAAACTTGTCTCATTGTAAATTTAATGGAATAAATATTGTTAAACTTGTCCATGTGAGCAAATGACACCATCTTTTAAGCAAATGGTTAAATAAGGCAATTTGAATAATAATAAAAAAAGAAGAAAATTTACCATAGATCCGAAACCCTTCAGACTCTTGGAATTACTCCCTCCGTCCCCCAATTAAGTTCTCACTTTCTTTTTTGGATAGTCCCTAAATTAAGTTTACACTTCAATACTTTTCTTATTTGGCGAGAGCCATTCATGGCTGCCAATTCAAAGTTCATTTCGTCCATTAATGAAAAAAGGTGGGTGAGCCTAGGAAACATAACAAAAAATAAAAAAAATAACAAAGTTATAACACTTGAAAAAAATAACTCTTAAAAAAATAAAAAAAATTATAACACTTAAAAAAATAAGATTTTTTCTCTTTGCTTTCTCGATACACAAAGTGAATAACAATGAGAACCTACTCAACTTAAATGAATTAAATGTTTTTGTCGGAGTGATAATAGATTATTTTTATAACTCCGTAATAAATAAAATTCTAACTCATTTTTACTATATAAAAAATGTATAATATTTTTTGTTTTTACATATACAATATTGGTGTAATATAAAAGATCATAAAAAATTATGAATTTTAATATATTTTTTTATAAAAATTGGAGTGTAAAAACAAAAGTTGTATCATTTTTTCTTTTGGGACACACATAAGTTATATCAATTGAACAGAGACATGTTTTTGCTCCAACTCAACCGTGTTTCACACGGAGTTATAGATTGAATTAGAGAGTGT